GTGAGAACGGGGTTGCCTCTTGTTGCCCAGGCTGGAGTGCAGTGGCCTGATCTTGGGCTCACTGAACCTCTGGCTCCCAGTTCAAGCTATTCTCCTGCCTCCCTCCCAGTAGGCTCGGGATTACGGGGATGTGCACCCCACACCTTAATTATGTATTTTTAGTAGAACCCAGTTTCACTGTGTTGTTATATAGGATGGTCTCCAAAATCTCATTGACTTGTGGTCACCCGCCTGGCTCCAAAAGCTGGGATTACAGGAGTTGAGGCCCCCACACCCACTGAATCTTAAATGATGGTCTGCTACGTGAAATAAGCATACAAATGATAAGTATGCATTATTCCTTTATATGAAAGTTTTTTTAAAAAAAACGTTTTTTGTAGCCACCACCGCCGCTGACTTTGGAGTGTCTTATCTTTATTTTTACTTTATTTTTGAAACAGAGCTCACTTCTGTCGGCCCAGGCTGGGAGTGCAAAAAAAGGGTTGGTGTGATCTCGGCTCAACTGCCACCTCCGCCATCCGATTCAAGCGATTCTCCTGGCCTCAGTCTCCTGGTAGCTGGGATTCCAGGCATGTTGCACCACCCAATATATGAACTTTTTTTTTTTTTTTTTAATGGAGTCTCACTCTTGGTCACAGCTGGATGGCAGTGGCACATCTCGGCTTATTGCAGCTCTGACCTCCCAGGTTCTGCCATTCTCCTGCTCAGCCTTCCCGAGTGCTGGGATTAAGCGCCCGCCACCACGCTGGCTAATTTTTTGTATTTTTAGGTAGAGACGGGTTTCACTGTGTAGCCAGGCGATGGTCTCAATCTCTTGACCTCATGATCTGCCGCCTGCAGGCCTCCAAAGTGCTGGGGTTACCGCCGTGACCACCGCACGGCATAAACTTTCTTAATATGGCAAATTCAAAAGCAAAAACTAGGTTAGAGGCCCATGTAGGCACGGAGTGAGAGAGGAATGCAGAGTTATTGTTCACGTGGTATGAATTTTTGTGAAATACGTGGTGATGCTGCCAC